CTACTTCATGATGTATTAATATATTCATTCCTGCTTCCTTACAAAATTAATGATTATATAAGATATCTTTCTCCATTCTTTTACTTTCAACCTACTTAGGTCCTTAAGTGAATTTGAAGTTTCTTATGAACAGTATCTAATTGGGCCATGTGTTTATTTTAGGCTCTCCATCAATCCGTCTTTTGGTTTATTTAGACCATTTACATTTAAGGTGCTTATTGTTATGTAATTGCTTAAGTCTGATGTTTTTATTATTTTCTTTGTTTCCTTTTTCTTTCCTTCCATCTTCATCTATTTCTGTATAATGTAGTTGCATGTATCTCTTTGTATAGTCTTACAGTGTTTGTTCTGGATGTTACAATATGCGTATTGTAATATAGTAGTCCACTGGTACCAGTATTTACTACTTCAAACTGTGGAAACCTTCCTTCCATTTAGGCCTCTTTACTTTTCTACTTTTGTAAATCACTGGCTTGAGTATCAGGTGGTGGTATAGTTTTTGTTTCAGTTATCAAATGTGATTTTAAGAACTGTGAATTGTCTAGTGCATGTATCCACATTTCTGGTCCCTCCCGTGATCCCATGTTCATCCCTTCTGCATAAGAACATTTTGTAGCCGTTTTTTTTATTTTGATTTTTTTGTTTTAATATTTTGTATTGTAGAAATGACAGAACATATCTCTGTAGCCCTTTTCTTTAACATTTCTAAATTTACCAGTGACAAATTCCTGTATTCTCTTCCTCTGAGAATGTCTTTATTTCTCTCTTCATTTCTGAAGGGTAGTTTCATGGGATATAGAATTTGTAGCCAACAGTTTTTTTGTTTGTTTGTTTGTTTGTTTTTGTTCGTTTGTTTTTTAGCAATTGAAAATGTTGTGCCACTTCTTTCTGGCCTCCATGATTTTAGAGGAGAAATACAATGGCATTTGAGTTGGCGTGTCCCTACAGGCATTCTGCCTCTTTTGGTCTTTGTTTTTAGTTTTGAAAGTTTAATCAGTGTTGCTTTCTTTTGGTATACTTTGAGGTTTGCCCAGCTTCTTGAATCTGTAAGTTTATATCTTTCGCCAAATGTGGGAAGCATCAGGAATCAGTTATTTGCATGCTTTCACAGCTCTGGTCTCCTGTAGGACTCAGATAACATAAATGCGGGGTCTTTTGTTATTGTCTCACAGGTCTGTGCAGCTCTGTTCATTTGTTTTCAGGTTATTTTCTCTCTATTGTTCAGACTGGGTGAATTCTGTTGATCAGGTTTCAGCTTCTCCGATTCTCTCCTCTGTCATCTCCACTTTTACTCAATAGAGCCCATCCAGAGAAATTTTTTCAAATTTCTGTTACTGTATTTTATATTTCTGTAATTTCCATTTGATTCTTCTTCAGTTTATTTGCTGAAGTTTTCAGTTCTTTGTTTGTTGCCATAGGATTTGTAGTTGCTTGTTGAAGCATTTTTATACTGGCTGTTATAAGCGATGAGTCAGATTATTCCAACATCTGACTCATTTCAGTGTTGATGTCTTCAGTTGTCCTTTCACATTAAAATTATGATTTTCTCAGTGGTATGACAGGTCATATTTTGGTTATTCTGTTAGGAGGCCTATGTAAATTTTTTATTTTTGCAGGCAGTCCTCCTGTTTAAGTTTAGTCTGTAGGTCCTGGTCTACATTGTGGGCTGTAATTCCAATGACAATTTAATTTCAGAGCCTTCATGGTGTTATTTTGGTCTGTTTGGCATATCTGGTATCACTGGGGCTCTCCCACCAGTCCCTGCTGATGCCCACCTGAGGGAACAGGGGAGCTGCCCCAGGCTGGGCCACCTGCTGCTGCTAGGTGGGTGGGGAATGGTGGTTGTCTTGGTGTGTGGAGCTGGTTTTCTTGTTGTGGGGAAGATCTCCTTTGATCTGGGGGGATTGAGCCTGCCTGGGTTGCCTTCTATTCTAGGTTGGGAGTTGGGAAACACTGGGTCTGGGTCACCTTCCTGTTGGATGGGATCCAGGGAGACACCTGGCCACTATGTATTCCCTAGTCCTAGAGTCCCTCAGCAGCCTTTTTCTTTCCACCTTTAGGAATTCTCCATTGGTCATCTCCTGTCTATTATTTCTAGAGTTTAGGTTACACTTCTTAGTCAAGAGGAAATAATGTGTTGTCTTCTCTGGACCAGAAATCCTTAGTGGTGGTTTCGGGTTGTAACTGTGCTAAAGGGAGAATTGGCATATTTGTGATGTCAAGTCTTTCTTTTCAAATTAGGACATATCATCATTCAGTAGATGATATTTACAACACCTACTTCCTTGGGTTGAAGAATGTGGTTAAGGCAAGGAAAGTACTTAACGCAGTGCCTGGTGTGGAGAACACTTACGAGTGTTGGTGGTGATGCTATTTCTTTTGTCCTTTGGTGGCATATTAAAGCTTTTCTTCTTTTTTTAAAAATAAATTTCCAGTGCATTTCTTGTTAGGTTTATTCCTGTTTTATCCTTTTTTGCTTTTATTACAAATAGGAGCTTCCTATCTATTATCACTTCTACCTGGTTCTTTGGCCCTTATGTGAAAATGTTTTAATAGCCTTGTAAATGTTGCTCTCCCAGGCTGAGGCAGAAGGGTTGCTTGAGCCCAGGAGGTCAAGGCTGTAATGCACTATGATAGCCACTGCCCTCCAACCTGGGCAACAGAGCAAAAACACTACCATCTCTTAAAATAAGAAAAGTAAGTCAGATCATTCCACTGCCTTGCTCAAAATCCTCCTCAACTTCTCATCTCTCTCAAGTAAACCCAAAATTCTTACAATGACCTAGAACTGTGCCATCTAATATGGTGGGCATTAGCCACCTGTAAGTAAATTTAAACCTATTTAAAATAACATAAAATTTTAAATTTTAATTTAAAATTTAATCTTCAGTCTTGCTAGCCACATTTCAAATGCTTAATAGCCACTTGAAATATTGTAATTTGCTATGGAGTTGGGCAAAGCAGATATATAGCATTTCCATCAGCACAAAAGTTCTATTGGAAACCATTGGTCTAACATCTGGAAAGGTTATTAACTGCCTGCCTGTGGGCAAAACACACTTCCCTGATGCATTTGTTTGGTGGTTGGTTGATTGATTTTTAGATAACTGGAATTTGATACCAGCAGTTATTTGTGTGATTTAAAATTTTAAAAACTTGTATCTTGAAGAGAATACAGAATATTACAACTAAAAAAAAAGTTGCTCTCCCAAATGAGTTTTCACTTGTCTATTTCTTTCATTCTTTTTTCTTTTCCTTTTTTTTTTCTTTTTTGACACAGGGTCTCACTCTGTCACCCAGGCTGGAGTTCAGTGACGCAATTATGGCTCACTGCAACCTCTGCCTCCCGGGCTCCCAAAGTGCTGAGTTTATAGGCGTGGGCCACTGCACCCAGCCTTACTTATCTATTTCTTTTAAAAATGGGACCTATAATTGAGCCCAGAGCTGCAAAAACAAATGAAGGAATGAATGAGTGAATAAGCTCTTCCCGTGGGTTTAGTGCTCTACTCTTAATCTAAATGCTATGTTTTATATAATCTAAGATTTCCTCTAGGTGTGTTACATGATTGTGTTGTGTTGAACTTACACTGAGACTCCTTTTAACATGTGCTGGTATCAGCGTGGGGCTTTTCTATTCACTCTTTGAACTATTCGTTTGGGGGACATAGATAGACCTCTATGTCTCTCATAAAGAGTGTCCATTGGCTGGATGTGTTGGCTCATGCCTGTAATCCCAGAGCTTTGGGAGACTGCAACAGGAGGATCATGAGGTCAGGAGTTCAAGACCAGCCTGGCCAATATGGTGAAATCCCATCTCTACTAAAAATACAAAAATTAGCCAGGCCTGGTGGTGGGCGCCTATAATCCCAGCTACTCGGGAGGCTGAGGGAGGAGAATTACTTGAACCTGGGATGGGAGGTTGCAGTGAGCCAAGATCGTGCCGCTGCACTCCAGCCTGAGTGACAGAGTGAGACTCTGTTTCAAAAAAAAAAAAAGAAAAAGAGTGTCCATTATCTATACTGGAAAAATTGAAACTGATTTTGACATGAAGTTTGACATGAATGTGGATTGGGTCCATTTAGCTTACCTAAACAGATGATGAAATACTAACTGTTTTACGAAGCATTCCCTAGAGCAAAGTTTTGCCTGTGTCTGTGTGTGTAGTGACGGGAATGATGTGAATGAGGCTTGGAACGCGGAGCACACTGTGGGCCTGTGGTGGGTGAGGCCAGCAGCACATGCATGCCTGGCTCACAGAGCAGCCTTTGGGTGTGCTTTTCCCAGAGGAATTCTATGGTGGTTTTGAAGACTTGGAAACAGGGGACGTGCACAAGGGAAAATCAGACCCCGATACTCAGGTGTGACTTTATTGTGGCTGGCTGTTCTTGGTCATTGTGTTCTGAGAGACGCCCACCTTGAGAAATGCAAATCTTACTTGTGATGTGTGAAGATTGCAGACTGGATGGATAGATTTCTTACTAAAGGGTGGTGGGGATGTGGGGGCCAGAGAGAAGCTTTCTTGTTTACTTGTTAAGTTTTGGATAGCAATTACTACCGCTTCTTGCCACAGTCATTTGCCAAGTCTGCTGTGAATTTTCATTCACAGAAGTCTTAGCTCCTCGGGCTTACATTCCACTGTTGCCATCATTCTCCTCCTCTTAAATGTAAGTGTCATTTAAAAGAACGAAGTCCCTGTTCTCCCTAATATTTCTTTAGAACAGGGTCTGGGAGCATCTCAGTGAGGGACACATCTGTTATTTTTATTCTAGTTTGTGTTCCCAGCCAGCTTAAGGAATGGCAGCTAATTGTAATGCAGATGTAACCATTTCCTGTAGCAGTACCATGTTATTCAGAGACAAAGGTCGTGTTATGTTTTGTTTTATTGATAATGATAACAGATTTTTGCTAAGATTTTTGTTTAAATAGAACTTTAAAAAGTCTAATGTTTAAAGAAAAGACCTTCATAACTGTACACAAAATTTTTCTTCTGGAAATTTAAGAATGAAGATGTAGAGAAAGAAGTTAAGGAAGAAATTGACCCCAACAAAGAGGAAAGTGCCACGAAAAAGAATTTGGATAAGAAGAGTAAATTGAAGGAGATGTTTGATGCAGACTATGATGAAGGAAAAAGCACATATTTTGATGATCTTAAAGGAGAAATGCAGAAACAAGCACAGGTGAGAAGCCTCAGTTCCTGTCAGCCCCTTGTCAAGACTATCATAGCACAGGAATCCCTGATTTTGTTTGGGTCCCTGCTTCCTATCCTGCTTCTGTGCCTTTCATTTGGACTCCTGGGTAGAGATGCATGTGAGTGTGTTTATTCATGCAGTGAACTCATTGTTTCTGCAGTCAGAAGGTCACCAGAAAAAGATCCATACCTATTTTGTAACAAGAATTAGGAAACAGAAATGACTGAGGCATGGTCTCTACTTTTGAGACTTTTACAGTGTAGTGATCTGAGACAGTGTATTCATT